AGTTTTTTCTACAAACGTAGAATAAAATGTTTTTAAATGATTTTTATCTTGTTACGCCAAGAAAGTATAACTTCTAAGGAGTGTACATAAGTACACACAAGTTTTTTTTATCTGTACAAGTATAAATATATGAGAGCTTAGCTTATATGCTATATATAGTAAGTACCTACATATATATACCGCATTACATTACATTACAAAAAAATTGTCTTCTCTGCTAAATCTTACTTCCAGACAACCCAGCCGTAAAAAATAAAAAAAAACAGAACTTAAACTTGTATTAATTATTTATGTAAACTGCATACAAAACTATAACTACTATGAGGGGGCAAACGGGCAGGTGGCTCTCCCGATGTTAAGTAATACGGCCGCCCATGGATACTCTCAATACCAGATGGCACGCGAGTGCGTTGCCGGCCCTTTAATAATTGGTACGCTTATTTCTTGAAGAACCCTAATGGTTCGGAAATACTTCAGTGGGCAGCTCCACAAAGTACCTAGTGGTGCACGGAAAAAACTGTTGTTAATTACGCTCAGTTATTGAACGATATTTCAACTATAATTCAAAGTAATTGTAATAAAAATTTACGTTTTAAATTATATAGTGTTTTCTTCGATAACTAGATTATGTTCAATGTAATCTACGCACACATCGCCGGAGCGCATTCCATAACACCTATTGAGCCCCCGTGCATCGTAAAACACATTATATAGAAATTATAGTGAAGAATATGCATTTTAGTATTGAATCGTTTTTTTTATAGAACTGGGCAAACGGGCAGGAGGCTGACCTGATGTTATACTGCCGCCCATATACTCAATGCCTGAGAGCTCTCGAGTGCGATGCCGGCCTTTTAAAATATAATTCTAAGGCCAATGGACACATCAACATGTTTCAATTTAAAAGTAAAGCAAGCTGGAAAAGAATTGGACATTCCTTTAATTCCAGACAGAAAATAATTTATATAGTAATAATATTTGAGCAGTGTTGACCTAGTGGCTTCAGCGTGCGACTCTCATTCTGAGGTCGTTGGTTCGAACCCCAGCTGTGCACTAATGGACTTTCTTTCTATGTGCGCATTTATCATTTGCTCGAACGGTGAAGGAAAACATCGTGAGGAAACCGACATGTCTTACGACCCAAAATGTCGACGGCGTGTGTCAGGCACTGAAGGCTTGCACTTGCCTATTAGATTTTTAAATGATCATGAAACAGATTCAGAAATCTGAGGCCAAGACTAAAAGAGGTTGTAGCGCCACTGATTTATTTATTTATGACATACGTATAACCGAATAGAAAATAGATAGTTCTAGTAAAAACGGAAAATAGTTTTTACATTTCTCACTGTAAATCGATACACTGTCGAGTCCGCAGCTACTGTTGCATAAATATTTTATAATTGCATTCCCCGAGAGGAATTGATCATACATGTTTAGATAATATCATGGATAGCATAATTATTGTTTATAAATATAATGTTAATCGTCACACGGTGAAAGACAAACAATTTGTTATGTCAGATATAGCTTTTAAACCGTTAGAAATAGCGTAGACATATTTTCCTTATTTTTCATACGTTAGCCCTGTATACCAAAGGGAGAGAGAGCAGTGCAGAGACCAAGAACTCTCTACGATTGCTTCTTTCTCTTCACTTATAATAATCACCATACATGGTCGTTTAATCTTTTAACCTGCCCGTTAATAGCCTTATGAATCTAATCCAGAGTAATAGCCCACTGAAGTATTTCCGTTTTTTTTTTTAAAGGCCGGTATTGCACTTGCGATCCCTCTGGCATTGAGAGTGTCCATGGGCACTTAACATCAGATGAGCCTCTAGGCATTTTGCTTATTCTAAAAAAAAACCCCACCTTCAAATCCACACTTGCGAGGTTATTCACATTATTCTTTCCATGTTTCGGACCTCAACGTGTCCTTTCTTTTTATCTACTATCATACAATATCAAAGAGTCTATAATATAAAAATCGTCTTCTATTATTGAACACCCAACTATCGAGAAAGTAATGTCCCCGACTCCCTTCCGTCAAAAATCATAACTCATAGTCAATATCTAGAAATGTATTATTTCATCATTCTTTATTTAGGTATTTTTAAAAACCAGCTGGAAAAATAAAACTAAATAATATTTTTTACGCAAGCGCTTTAACACATTAAAATCTTTTATTCAACGCATTTTATTGTGTAAAGTACGCCATAGTATTTCAAAATAAATATACGCGAGAATTCCAAAGTCCATACAAGACAGTTTAAACTTTAAATCAAGCACTACTGGACAAATGCAAATTCACGAATAATATGTACGCAATGCGTCACTAGCTATTGTCGGAATATTGTAACATTACTTCAACCGACCCGTCATTTTAATTTGATTAAAAATATGTAATATATTCCGAAACAATCCCATCAATTGCCGCTTAATTTTCTTATAAGTGACAATGATAAAATCCCAAACAACATCCCCATACTATAACTATAGATAGTACTACGAGTAAGTACCTACGCTGAAGTAGACTGCGACATTTGTAAGAAAAATGTTTGTTTTGCGCGTTCTTAAGAGTCACCAAGGTTTAGTTTTGCTTTAAATTACTCATAAAACATACTCTTCAAAATAATATAATCATGTAACTAACATTTGTCATAACTATTTAAATTCATATTCTGTTATTATGAAAATTGGCATACAAGCAAAAAAAGGGTTTGTTATGAAACAAAATAAAAATAATAACATTAAATTACACAGTTTTCTAGAAATCACGTTTCTATCAAATCCGTCACTGATTAATTTGAAATTTAAAATACATGCAATTTTTTTTAATGTAGCCGTAATATTTAGTCAATGTACGTAGTTGGTCCCAAAGTTCTGTCACTAGCACATTATTTCTACATTTCGAGCAGGATTTTATAAAAAAATTATTGCATTCTATTTTGGAATGTTTGATTATTGTTTTAAAACAAAAAGCAATAACTTTCCGTAATTTTTCACGATGGAGTGGACATTGAAAGTAAACCGAATAGTTGTTATTGCGTTGCACCGCTGTGGACACTCGCCGAGTACCATTTTCAAGTTGCTCAAAAATTTGAATATAACGCTTAGGTTTGTGTACGGTACTATTGATAGGTACCTTGAAGTCTCCAGTGTTGAGGACAAGAAAAGAACTGGCTGGCCACGCTCCGCAAGAACACCAGCAGTAATCAAAGCTATCAAGGCGCGGATAGTAAGAAATCCTGTCCGAAAACAGAAGTTGATGGATTTGCAGATGGGTGTCAGATGGAAAACAGTAAAAAAGGTTTTAAATGAAGATCTTGGTCTACGAGCATACAAAAAAAGAGTGGGCACTTACTTAATGCTCGTCTAAAAGCAATAAGGCTTAAGAGATCGCGGGTGTTGTTTAAGCGGTACGCGAAAAACCGACACCGTGATATCCTCTTTACGGACGAAAAATTTTTCGATATTGAAGAGAAGTACAATAAACAGAATTATACAGTGTACGCTAGGAGTTCTGAAGAAGCTGAAAATAAAGTTCCAAGGATGCAACATGGACATCATCCATCATCAGTAATGGTTTGGTTGGGAGTGTCCTATTACGGGCTAACTGAGGTTAATTTTTTCGAAAAGGGGGTCAAAACCAGTGCTACAGTGTACCAAGAGACGGTTTTGTATCGCCTTGTCAAAGACATGTCCAGCACCTTATTTGCGGGACATCACTTCGTGTTCCAGCAGGACTCTGCGTCTGCATACAAAGCCAAGACCACTAAAGCCTGGTTTGAGCGTCAAAACATCGTCTTAATTAGACATGAGGATTGGCCTTCCTCCAGTCCGGACCTTAATCCTTTGGACCAGAAATTATGACAGGGCTTAGAGAGGAAGGTCTGTGATAAACCTCATGAAAATTTGGAGAATCTGAAGTCATCTTTAAAAAAACCAGTGACTGAAATCGACACGAATATGGTGCGTGCTGCGATAGACGACTGGCCGCGACGCTTAAGGGCCTGTATTAAAAATGAGGGAGGTTATTTCGAATATTTTTATGCTTTTTTTATTCCTTAATTAATGTACTAAGAATTGATATATCACTCATTACAAACTGATCAGTACTTTTGTTTTTATCATTATTTCCATTTATGACAGAACTTTGGGACCGACTACGTAGTATCCAAAAATGATAAAAAGTGAATTTTGGATTTTTTCAAATCCGACAGTGTTCTACGATCATGACGAATTATGTTTTATCGTGACTCAAACAAAACCTTCCTCAAATAATCTGTGTGATAGCAGACGGCCAAAGCTTATATTCGTTAGTACAAAATGTTGCATTGCGACGATAGTAGAGTCGTAGACTGCAGAAAATAATCGATTTCACTGTTTGTCTACTGTCTACGTTATCTACGGGACATTAAAAACATGTTTTACATACAAATTAATACGTCCTCAAATTGTTCTTTACTTATTATCATACTAGCAGACCGGCTAAGCGTTGCTGTGGCTAAGGTTTTTGTTATATTACATAGTAGTAAACTATTCAAGGGAAACGGTAGGAGAACACCAGTCATGGGGACCACCATGCTTTATGGTGGTTATGCCATTAAATTTTAGCTTTTGTGATTCGTTGGTACTTTCAACACAGCGCTATCTGTAAGAATTGTGACTATTAAATAATAAACAAATATTTTGCAATAAAATAATATTGCGGGTATAAATTGAGATGTAAACTATCCTATCTTTTAAGTTGGATCAAACTACACACGGTGTGCAAATTTGATTTATATCGGTTCGGTAGTTTAGGAGTCCATATCGGACAAACAACGTGACACGTAATTTATATATATTAAGATAAGATATATTTAAAGACTAAAGAATGACGCATTTTTGGGGTCTTAAATTAAAGCGTGGGAAATAGCTAGTTAGACTATGCAGAAGAGTTTATATTTAGCCTATATGCTTATTATATGTTTAGACTTACAACGTCAGTGTTTAAATATTCATATATCAACATTAGCTGGAAGTGATTCTGCGTCAGCTTTCAATGACAAAGTCTGCTGAAAAAAAACATTCCCCTAAACAACCTCCGGTGCACTTTCCCCTTGAGTACGACGAAGCAAAAAATACACCTTTAACACACGGTAATAGAGCTCAATTTATCCTGTCATCAAAGACCCTTTAAACCCCGTTAACTATGTTATAAATATTATAAATGCGAACGTAGCTAACGTTTAAACTGCAAAACGTATTACTCAAATATTTAAAAAATTACAAAATTTGAAGCACACGAGACTTTAGTCTATAATATAAAATTAATAGTATTTAATTAAAGTAATAATAAAATTCTTAACAAAAATGAGCTTCATCTAGTACAACAAAAAGTCGTAGAAATTTGACAGCTATGTAAAAAAATCTCAACTCGACACAATATGTTTATAAATGTATATAAAACTACTTTTTTGTCTGACCATGACAACGCTTTTAGTCAACCAAAATGTATGGCAACCAATTGGTTTTTTTTAAACCAGAATCCAAGCAAAATTAACAAAACAAACTTATTCTTAATAAACAAAACAATAAAAAACCGGAAGACATTTAAAAAAATTAAATTGCAAGAATTAAATAATCAGCACGGTGTCCTAATTCTATTTATAATGGATAAATACATAGTATATATTTAAATCCATTCATAAAATTTAAAAATAAAGTATGAAATACAATTTTAGTAATACGTTCGCTGATATGTTGCACGTTTTACAGTTCATGAGAGCTTTATGTGATAATTTTCTTATTAATAAAGATAGACAAATATTTCCTTAATAATCCTTTTTTTACTTAATATCATGACTAAAACCGCATGTATCAACTTTATTTTCAACACGTCTTCGCCATAAGCTGTACTTGTTTTACGAGTTTATTTTAAACGTAGGTGTAGGATAATATCTGACCTATTCACTTGCAATGTTGCAAAATGTTTATTATGATTATTTAAAAAATATTTCGCAACTTTTCCTAGTATTTATCACTCTAAATTATATTAACATTAGTATGTCGCTAAATTTGCTCACAAGGAATAAATATTGAATATTACGGGTCGAGGTTAAACGTTTTCCTTATTTGGTTTTCATTATTATTATTCCCTTAAAGATGTCATGACGAGCATGATGTATGGAGAGACAAGAGAAGCGGAGTTTCTTGCCAGTTCCATTTTACGCCTTAGAACTGGCAGTAAATGTAAAATTAGAAGCATTTCTTTTATATATTTATAATTGACCTTCACGATTACCGATTGCAGTCCAGACGACAATACTGAGATTTTTAAGGTTGAGACATCCGCTCTACAGTTACTGAGAGAACTACTGTATCGAATTACAACCAAACACGTTGGGTACCAAACAAAAGTATTTAATACTTCGAGTTATATAGAAAATTCTTCATACATTCTTTATAACGTCACAAACACCGCATAACGAAACTCTCTCTATAACGAAAAATGAATTAAATTTGATTGGTTTAACACCAATCCATACATTAATACACTGTTTATAACGCAACAGCCATTCTCTATTACGAAGAAATATTTTCATAGTTAGACATCAACAACATACTTAAGTGTAATTATTTTTATAATCAATCCATTTTATAAAACTAACCTATTGAGATGCCGAAATTTCTAAGAAAGACACCTGAGGTCAAAAACAGCCATCTCGTCTTTGTTATTGTTAATTGCATTAACACGTAATTTTGCGTATTGCGTATTTTGCGTTTGCGTATAAGGTTAACCTTATAATTTTACAAATGTAACCAATTACTTTTACAATTAAAATTTGATTTTTCTCTTTGCTCCGTACAACGAAAAGTTTCAATAACGAAAAAATGCTCGGTCCCTTGAAATTCGTTATTTAAAGGGTTAACAATGTAGATTAAACTGTATTCAAATGTAACGACAACCAAAGACAATACAAACATTGTTAACGTCTATAAAGTGATTCTTGCGCATGATTGTTTTCATTAATGTGTCAAAACATGATTAAATGACGGTGTTTTTGCTCAATACAATCATCGGCTGTCGTGTGCTCACTGCGTGCGAAACTAAGTGGAATCACGCATGCTACAAAGGCATGCGAGACGTTGGGCTCGGACCACCTTTAAATTATACACGGTTGTTAGAGAATAATGTTAGTTTTTTACGTCTTAATACTGAACTCAATTCAGTAGAAATGTTAATCACATACGTAGTGTAGATGTGGCTAGCTTTTGCTATTAAATGATTTATTGATTATAATTATGAAATATTTTGTATCAATTAGCATTCTATGCTAGGAACAAAGATGGAATGTCGCCAACTGTGACAACTGTAAAACGTATTGTTTATATGTTTACCCATTAAATGTATAATATATTACTTCATTATAATAATCATCCTTTATTTCGAAAGTCAAAAGACACTCAATCATTATAATAACCGAAATAAATTCTCATTAAAACCTCTACATTTAAAAGAAATATGACCATATGTAGTGTCAAGGAAGGGGGGCAAAGCAGTGTTTTTAAAACAGTTTATTTTTATATATCAGGAGGCATACGGGCAGGAGGCTCATCTGAAGTTAAGTGATCCCGCCGCCCATGGCCACTCGCACTGACAGAAGGTTCGCAAGTGCGCTGCCGGCCACTTAAGAATTGGTACGCTCTTTTCTTGAAGGACCGTAAGTCGAAATGATTCGGAAATACTTCAGTGAGCAGCTGGTGGTGCGCGGCAAAAACTGCTTTAAAAAACGCTCAGTTGTGGAACGACGGACGTCGAGGTGATACGGGTGGAATTTCGTATTCTGCCTCGACGTCCGATGATGAAACTCAACTGCAGGTATTATACAAACAACAGTTTTAAAATGGCTTAGGTCTAAGAGTAGCCTGATAAGAGAAGGCCCTCTCCCTCGCGCCAATTTACCAATCTTCAACTAAAATTCTAATACATAGTACTCGTTTACTCACGCCCTAATGGTGATAGGTGCCAACGGTGAACACAGAAGCATGATCATGGATGAGTCTGTCACAAGAAACTAATTGGCACCTTACAAACAACCGTTCGAGTGAAACCAGCTTTTTGTACGAAGCACTTGTAAGGTTAAACTTTAATCGGGCAATTGAATCTTTTTTTCGACTTTCTAAACGAGCGGATGTACGCACTTTTTAATTCAATTTAATTAAGATTGAAAACGACGTTGATTGGCTATCAACTTTTTCAAGTTCTCTTCTGAGAACCGCTGGGAAATCACTCTTGAACATCGTTCTGATAATGTAGTAACTAGTAAGTATTTGTGTCGTCTTATACAAGGACATCATAAACAATTGCCAAAGTTTAGCGTTGATACCTTTACAAATGGCTAAAACGGGATATTACAGTACAAGTCAATCGTTTTATAATTTTTGTCTTTAAGGGGTTTAAAATTCTAGCTACATAATACATTTGTGCACTCCTAATTTAAATATTTGTACTATAGTGTCTTGATTAAATGTTGACATGACATAGAATGCAAATCCTACCCAACTGTTAACATGAATATAAAAAGTAAAAACTCGAAAGGAAACAACTACAAATTTACAATTCAAAATATTATTTTTTATTGCTCATGAATAATTTATTCTATTGTAAAAACCGTGAAAAATAATCAGATATGGACATATTTATAGAACCGTAACACAAGGTCAGCAGGTTTGATTGTGAGTCACATAACAGGAAATTTACAAATAAACAGACAATGACAAACTTTATATTACATTTTCAAAGGATGTTTTAATTTAAGCAAAAATAATGTCCAAATTAAATAAACAGGGGTCAAGTAAATTTTATATGCATAGGTTTTTGTATAAGGGAAGACCACTGACATATGCTTCAATTGATAGAAATTAATTTAAAAGTTACTTTATATTATTACCTATTAAAGTTTCACAATTAGTTAGTAAAGTATGTTGTACAGTGTAAAACACTCTGTATTAGACACTTCCTAAAAAAGAGGGATTGGGAAAAAAATTATTTTTAAATTTAACTCCAAGAAAACGAAATAAATATCATTATTTACACATCTATTTCATAGAAAACAGCAGTATGTACTGGCACAAAACTAATTGCAGTCAAGGTCTCCCGTTAACCCTAATTTGACCACTCATAGACATTCAGAGTATGACCAACATTTAGCAATTTAACTATTAATGTCAGGGGACCAACAAGTTTCCTGTTTATATGTATGACTTAAGTCACAAGCTAAATATATAATATATTTCCTTGATTGCCTGAACTCTGGAGACATAATTAATTTGAATCAAAATAGATGAGGCAAAATAATAATTATAATTTCACAGTTGTTCTCTGATTGTGATCGGTATTTTGAATATGAATCCATACTAGACGAAGCTGAGCCCCATAATTTTTTTTTAAGATTTTTTTTTTTAACTATTATAAATATCTTATAACAATTAAACCACACAAGCAACATTCTTCTCAAAACATTAATGTTGTGCACCTAAATATATTTAATAAACTTCTTAATTAGTTTAACTAAACTTAAAAACTACTACAGCTACTGAAGATTATTGTAATCCTAAAATAAAATCTTTATTCTAATAAGAATTTTTTATTCTTAAAACCCACTATCTTAGCTCTGAGCCTCAGATTTCTGTTTGATTTTTCTATATAGGCAAGTAGGTGATCAGCCTACTATGCCTGAAGCACATTTATTGAGTTTGTTTAAAATATGGGTTTAATGATTTTTACGGATCGAATACAACGGATTAAGAATATTTTTACTATTTTTTATATAAATTATGCATGCATATTTTAAAGTTTGAATTTTTCATGAGCTTTTTGCCTCCATTTAAAGTTTAATGTTTGTTATATTTAAGTCAACACAGGAGATAAAGACAGGAAGTTGCATTCAACCCCGCCACTAGCACATTGACACAATGATGATAAGATATAACAGGAAGACATTTTGTAATAGGAAATAATGGATAAATTCTGTATAATGTGCAATTTAAATCTTGCAATCAAAAAAAAAACTTATTGTTTTTATTATCTCATCTCTTTCTTTTTATTAAAAGTGAAAAATAATTTAAAACTTAGTAGTAAACGATTTCTCGATCATTTTGAATTAGAAATGATGTGTTTAAATCTAATAAATTGTGACTTTACATTTTAGTTTGCGCATGATAATCGGTATAACATTGCGTTTCATTGTTAAATAAAAACATGTTTGTAAACAAAAATGCCGGTATCGTAAAGAAACATTTAAAACTTACCAGAACCTTGATGAATCTATTCTCCAATTCATCTCTATCTGGCATCGGAGGTTTTGTCCGATTTCTGGTGGACGGTTGCCGTACATGGTGGCTTTTTGTTGTAGTGACTGGTCCATCCAACATGGTTTGTTCACGGGATGTTATTAAACCCATTTTACACACCACTAACTTAATGAACACTCATCACAAAAACATTTATTTTTATCACAGACGAAACATAATTTCTAAGAAAACTAGTCACATTATTCGTTATAAACAGTAAGTCTCAATTAAGCGACACTGGACAAAGCAAAGGCGAGGCACATCCGCACGCGCATAGATGTTTTTACTTCGTTCAAAGTACCATTCGACTACATTCTCTACTCAATACAAAGCAAAACACTGAATACCTAACTGTGAAGTGTGAATGACTGACGCGGTAAGCGGGCTCTGTAGTAAACGCGACACATTACCACATTGACAACTGACAAATGTCATTTGATCTAGGGCAGTTTATGTTATCTTTGACATACAAATCAAAGCGTCGTATGACGCTGGACATAAAGTGACAGCTTACCTGAGAATGTCATTTAACAAAAATAAAATAGAATATAATTAAAAGGTTGAAATACAATGCGTGGAAATCAACAAAATAAATAAAAATTAAATTAAGAAAAACATCAAATGAGACAAATTTGGGTTGTGATAAGTCTGAGAAACGGGCAAATAAATAGTGGCCAGGCAAGATTTGTTTGATTCAAACCTGCACTGTGTTTTCTCTGTGCGTTGAAATGTGTGCGTGTGCATGTGCTCTTGCATATGCTTGTGCTTGTGCTCCTGCATATGCTTGTGCTTGTACTCCTACTTATGTTCCCACTTGTGCATTTTGTATTTTTCATAGTTTCTTTGTATATTCATTATTGTCATGTAGATGGTTATTTATGTTTAATTTTGTTGTCCTATTTTAAGTGTATTTATTTGGTATTTTTTCACAGTCGAGGAGTGTTTCTACATATGGATAACCTGACCTGTGACCTATGTAAAACATGTTTTAGTACAATCCGTGGCTTCAAAATATACAGAATACCTACAAACTAAAAAAAACAACTTTCGAGGCACGCAACAAAAATTAAATTTCACTTTAGTTTTGAATTAAAAAAAAGTACAGTTGTTAAACAGATTATAAATTACACTTCGCATCACAGAACTTTTCCTTTTTTTTGCATACACAGTCTAATGATAACATATCAAAAACTCAGGAGTAATTGTAATGATACCGCGAGTCTAAATCCATTTTTAGTTTCAGCTAATAAATAATTTCGAAAAAGACCAAAATGTCCCAAAAATAGTAGGACAAACAACTAACGATGGTGATATACAGTGCTCCATTATAAGAAGAATAAATAGTCGAGTTAAAATCGATAACAGAAAAAATGTAAGGGTTTTCAAAATAAAAAAAACACAAATTGGATATAATTTTATGCTTTATTTTGTGTAAATACATTATTACAATAATTATTGTAACGAAAGTATATTGTTATTGCCCGTATCCGATACGATAACTAAATTAAAATACACCAATAATCTGTTAGCACCTTTTTTTGTTCTTTTATATTTTTATAGAAAATTATCGCAACATAAAATTGCTAATATGCAACAAGACATCGTCTCTGTTAATTCTTAAAAAATAACTATATTGTTGTAATTTGATCACACATTCAAAAACTAAACATTACGTTCAGGCTTATATTACGTCTGGGAATAAAGTGTTGAGTTAGACAAACATTTAAAATTACAAAATATTTTATATTTCTACTTTATTTTTGTTCAACGTCAATTTGGTCCAGCTACACAATCAAACTTGAAAAAAGTGGATACAGTCTTTGGTGAGAAGAAAAAAGACATCAGATACAGCTTCACATCGCACAGGCTTTCTGCTGAGACTCAGTCATTTCGATTATTTATCTTGCTTATTTATTATGCTATAGACGACGCATTTTAAGCTGAGTCGTCGGGCAATAAATGTCACTGACAGTAGGAGGTGTGCAATGCAACCCGTTATCGATACTTAGCTACCTTGCGCATGCACTGATTGGTCGTTACGAGTAAGGGTTGTTTATCGCTTTTGACTTACGCTTCGTTACGCAATACGCACAAACAAAGAATTTATTTTCCAACGTGGTTTTAAATAAACTAAATGATACCATCAACGCTCAAGCTCGGGCTGTAATTCACGTGTTCCTGTTTTTAAAAGAGTTTAAATATCAACCTAACCGTTATCGATATGCACCTCTACAATTCTAAGCACATCACTACACCGCTCCATAAGACTTGTAAGTGCGAGCGAGACAGACAGATAAAAATGGTTTATGACCCGAAGTCTCAGCCCATAATGCGTCGACTTTAATAGGTATTGCCAGCAAAAATAGGTAATACCTTAAAAATAAACTACCAAAGAAGCGAGGGTAGATACAGAAGCAAAGTTAAGACCTACCGTACTAGTGTTAGAGACGACAAAAGGCTACAATGCACGAAGTACTATGCGAAGTTCGTACAGTAGTGTACACCGTTAATTTGTCAATAACTACTTTACGTACTCTGTAATACTTGTAGGCATATATCGCTCAAATAAATTTCACCTTAAAACTAGTCAATATTAAATCTACAACACTTTCACACTTTCAAAGCTAATTACAAGAAATTTTGAAAGTAGTGAAAATGCACAAACTAACAAGGCACTTGAGCTTAAAGCAACATTTGCCTGATTAAGTTGTATTGACTAAAAACTAACGAAACACTACTAAGATCACAATAGTCAAACCAAAGAAATGCTTGTCACCTTTGCCTGACCCCTCCTCAAACCTTAGGAAGAACATAGGTGTAAAGTGCGAAATTTTGGCACAAATTGATAATTTAGTGTTACCATGTCAAATATTTTCCATGTTATTTTTATCACGGCAACATTTATTCAAAATGGCTTTATCGTGCCAAAAACTGTAATTTCAATACTAACATATTTGGAAAATGTATTTTTTAACCTTAGGCACTGTTATTTCGAGGAGGGATAATAATAGAGGACGGCACATCCCGGGAGTTGCCAGCGAGAAGCATGTAATTCAATAAGCTGGAGTAATGTGCGTCTGATAGAGGGCGCTGCAGCTGTGTTGATGAAGGCATCGCGCACAGCTGTTAGGAGACGCTCCAAGTCACCAGGAAGCTGGGTTTCTAAATCACGGCCGATATACGTGAGCACGAAGAAGAGATTCTCAGTCTGTGAAAATAAATTATTTAACTTAACGCCTGGCAAATTAAATTTTCGTTTGCAAGTTAGATAAAATAAAAAAGGGAAGTGTTTTATATGTATATATGGACAGACCGCTCGAAAAGAAAGATTACACACAACTTGTATGTAACACACAGATTACTAAATGATATGTAATATAAAAAAAAGGCCAAACCATTAACAACTAACCAATAAAATTTACCAAAAATTTGAGACACTACCATGGAGTACGTGTCATATGGAATTAAAAATTAAATTTTATGGAAAATATTACAGCGCCTGACATGACCAAATAAAATTTCTCACACAAATATTTTATGTTGACGTATTACGTTCCAGATTAATATTTTGTCAAACTCACTACCGTAAAGTTTACTGCATTGCATTTCTTAATGTATTTTAAGGGACAACTCACATCACTGGGCGAAGGCACGGGCTGGCGAATACAATCCTCGCAGCATTTGCAAATCAGTGTCAAAAGGACTTGTCCGGGCTGCGCACTCGCCCCGCGCCGATGAATGGCGCGACGACGCAACTGACAATACATCTCGAGGAGGAATGACAGGAACGCCATGAGACGTGGACGCCCTCCGCCAACTATCGTTCCCAGTAACTGGAATTCAATTTAATAATCAGGGCATACCATAGATATTTTTATTTCAATTAAATTTAAATCACAATCGCAAATGATTTGCAGTCGAACATGCCTAACACAAAGTATTCATAATAATATATTTATTTATTTATACTTTATTAACTTAAACAAAAACATAATATATATAAAAAAAATTAAAAAGCAGGTTACATAAATTATAAGGTACTGGGCGGCCTTATCACTAACAAGCGATTTCTTATTCATAAAAACTAAAGCACTGTCTGTATTCAAAGTATAGATGTCGCAGCTAGCTAGCTATTCAATTTACAGCCCAGCCTTTTAACTAAACAGCGCCGTTTAACTAGCGGCCTGTAGCGTTTGTAACAACATTTAATAAACTGGCTGGCTAATGCTTAGGCCATGCGTACGATAGAATGGAATAAAAGATATTGTAAGATCTGACGAAAAAATATTTCTTTAAAGAAATGAATTGCTTGGGTCAGTCAAAGCTAAATTCACATTATTATTGTCACTGCACTCTTCCAGCGCTGTTTAGTTAAGAGGCTAGGCTGTTATGAAACGCCTTATTAAACTAGTTGGTTGCAACATAAACAAGAGTAGGAGTGGTTATGTTTAATAATACAAGATATTTTGATAGTCTTTGTTAAATAACCTAAAATCTTTTTCTAAGTCTAAGGGCTATTTTCTTAACAGTAATATCCATTATAGTAATTATTTTGTAAATTGTGTATGTGTAAACGTTGAAATCAGTAACCGATAACATTTTAAATCAAGCTAGGATCACCTTCTCCCGGTCATGGTACCACTGCTGGCACGTATTGAGCAGAGACTCTAAGAAGGTCTCAGTCTGTTCTCGTTCAACGACAGCAATGCAGCGTCTTGCGGCCGGCAAGGCGTATCGCGGAGACTCCACTGCGCGACTCACAAGATGACCCACGGCATCCATTAGGGTTCGAGCACACACCGCGTTTGGATCTTCCAAAATAAAAATAACTATAGATATTTGCACGGTTAAAAACTGTTAAAAAATAATCTGGTATAAACAATCCTTTATGGCAATTGAAATTTGGATCTCATGGATGTTTTCCATCACCATAGCAGATAGTAAAATTTATTGGTCCCGGTCCTAGGTTTGAACCTTTAGAGGCCAATCAATATTTATTGATTCATATAGGTAATGTACACATATGAACATTAGTACTAGCAGTATTATATTTTTAAGAACTTTTGACGTGACAACGTCAAATAAATCAATGAACGTCCGCTGCACGCACGAAAAAGCATGACTCATTGTCCCGTTACGCTCATTGTACGCTTGCGCCGCACGAATGTTTTGTTATGACGTTGTCCCATTAAACTATCGTCCGTAAACCGACTTTACAGACTACTTTTTTTTATAGAACAGGACACGGGCAGCTCACCTGCTTTTAAGTGATACCACTGCCTACGGACACTCAATGTCAGAGTGCTCGCGAGTGCGTTGCCGGCTTTTAAAACTTTTTAAAAATTTATTTACAATTCATACTTAGTCTACTAACTTAATAAATGTTTGCCACTAAATGAAGATTGTGAAGCTTTATTAGAGTAGAATCAAATTATGAAAAAACTAATAATACGTTCAGCAGTAAAAGCGTAATAAACTTATAATATCTAACAGTGTACTAGCACCACACTTCACAAATCAACAAAATTTCATCAATAAGAATCCATTCACCTCTTACCCCCGAAAACGACTTTACTAAAACAACCTATTCAACAACCGATTCCTTTTAAAAAACCAATAACCGACTTCAAAAAGGTCGCCATCACGTGTTACTATAAAAATACTCAAATCACTTCAACTGTTTTTTTTAAAATATGAAGAATTTCCTCGTTTCTTTTTTTTTATAGTACAGGGGGCAAACAGTCCAGCCCATGAACACCCATTTTAGTGGGTGCGTTGCCGGCCTTTGAGTTCCGTTAAAATGATGTAAAAAAATCTTACTTTTTCGAATTGGGAAAAAAAAAAAAACAACAAAAGCCCTTTGAAGTCGATTAAAGACCATACCCTCACCAAACCTCCGTTGCATAATATACAAGTGTTCCGTCCACCCTCTGTGCAGGAACAATGAAAGTCTACAAACCATCTGTCTCACCTTCCAGTGCCTTATCGATACATTCTTGTATCTCTGGCGGGAAGGTGCCAAGGTCCCCTGCATCAGCAGCCAGACCCAACGCAGCCATACCACTGGCCAAAGTATCCGCTGAGGTTAAAGACTTGGACCGCTTCAGCCCAGGCGTATACGATTGCGGACGAATACTCTTCCCGTTCCCGTTGCTGAGGGAGGACGGTGGAGACTTCTTCTTCTCCTGGATAATCTGCTGGGGCTGCAGTTTGAAGTGGACCCGAGGGCCAGCCTGAAATTTTAAGAATAAGCTTTCTTAGTCATTATTAATTTATAAGCTATGCATTAATGTGCTGGTTTTAAAACGCCTGATAAAAAATACAATGCAAACCCTGTCAATCAAATAGGCGTTATTTAAAATACGATTCAAAAAACACGTAATTACACATACATTCTCGGCATTATCAGTATTCGATTTAATTTTATACGTCAATTTTGAATGTCTGTAATGTCTATATTTAAAAGCTGTCAATGCATTCGCGAGTCCTCTGGCATTGAGTGTCCATGGGCGGCTTATCACTTAACATCAGATGAGCCTCCATCTCGTTTCCCCCCTGTTCCGTAGAATAAAAAATTCGGGACAAATAAAAATTTAAGTATAAAAGTTGTCTCTTGGATAGCAAGTAACTTTAAGGCTAAAGAGATAGCTGGAACTTCATAAAAGTTTGAAGACGATTAGTTTATAACGCTATACATACCGTAGTATGAGGAACATTTCCACTGGATGCACTGCCCAGTAGAGCATGAGACGGCATCACAGGTCGGTAGTGCGGCGGAACTTGTGCATGCAGCACTGCCGAACGCGAGTGCTGGAGACCCACACTCGTGAAGCCCATGCCGACTGTTGACCTGAAAAATTACAAATTATTCTTTACTACGCGTTGATTTCGTGTAGTAAACTAAATTTCTTTTTGTTGTCAATAGGCATATGTCTTTTACTACAAAATAAATAATGGTTATGGCAACACGTTACGTCGATATTCGATTAGAAAATTACAAATAAGGGTAAAAACATTTGATACTAAGTTACTATTAGGATCTCGGTTGGCCATCGCAAGGGTCTATGAGAATGTAGGCATATAGATCCTATTTTTTAAGCAACAAAGTGTATGTATGTTGAGCTTTAAGGATTATAGTAATATGTATGTGTATAGAATTAAACTCTTAATACTTTTGCAGATCCTTACAAACAATTTGTAAACAAAAACTTTGGCGATTAAAAAGAGTGGCGGAGAGTTTGGCAGTTCTTCTCGTCCGCGCTTCTGCCTTCTACGCCCTTGATTTGATAACTGGCAGTAAATGTAAAATTAGAAGCATTTAATATGTATTATACATAATTTACATTGTGTTACCTATATGAATAAATGATTTTGAATTTGTAATTTGATACAATTACCTCAGCAACAATGTTTACTCCTATATATTATATATTCTGGGTATCTACAACTTTCTGAGCGTTGCCGATAATCGCCGATTAGCCAGCAGATCCGGCGACGCAAGTGGAATAGGATAGGCCATACACTACAAGAGATTCCAATTATATCTTCAAGCAGGCGGTTCATTGGAACCCGCGAGAAAGCAGAAGCGTAGCCATCTCGAAGCAAACCTGGCAGCAAGCAAACAGTTGCAGATGGGGCAAAGAGAGCCGGGAAGACTTGGAGCGAGATTCGATATACGTGACTCAATACTGAACGCTATGGAGACACCCTCTGCCCCACATAGAGGAGAGGTACAGGAAGCCAATTCTACGCTTTTTACTGCATTTGGACCTAGCTGAAACCCCTCAAGAGATCCCATAACTTGCAATCTGTCATAACTTCACTTATTACATTATGACTCCAAAGTGAGCTTATTTTAATTCATGTATGAATTCCTGCTATATTTATATATGGCAAACAATAGTTGCCAGGACTGATGACGTATTGGCCAAGCTTCATTACATTAACAACGATCCTATTAGGATCACAAAGAACGATATACTTACATAGATAAATATAATATAATATGTGTATTTTTACCTGGTATTTTTTCTAACTTTACCAATGAACAATTAAATGTTTTTTATATGTAAAAATATAATTAAAAAACCCAGCGGCGCTACAATATTTTTAGGTCTGAGCCTCAGCTTTATGTCTGATTAGTGATCGTTTGTTTTTTTTCTAATAGGATATTTTTAAACCTGGTGATCAGCATTCTGTGACACCTGCCGCCGCCCTTTTTTGGGACTAAGACATGTCGGTTTCCTCACGATACTTTACCAGGGATCTAACCTACGAACTCTAGGATGAGAATCGCTCGCTAAAAAGCATCAAGCCAACACTATTTCTAATTATCTATAATAATAATATAGGATATATATAAAAACCAAGCATTTTGTATTCAGCACACAATAGTAAACCCCATATTTATAAATTAATCTAATATAACTCAAAAGTATTATTTTATCCAGTTCTATCAAATTGTATAGTAAGTGTTTAAAACCGTACAATTTCACAAATGTTTTTATATAAAAGCCTATATTTCTCATTGTTAGTATTTTATTTACATAATTGACACATTTGAATAGAAGCATAAAGAATCTTGTTACACAATGCAAAAAGAAATTGTCGAGAAATATAAATCGTAATATCTACATACCCCAATGACAGATACAAAACGAATAAATTAAACAGTAATATGCATTATGCATTCCCATCACAATACACCTCCGATTTTGGGCATCAAACCTGCGTGCTTCATATACAAATGATAACCGAAATAAATCCGGAAGTAGGGTTACGAAAATAATCTAATACGAAACCGCGAGATGGCGTTCGGCACATTAAAAAAAGATTCCTTGGAGATGGGCCAGTAATTTACGAGAGATTATCTCACAAATCATCCAGTTAAACGACAACAAAGAAAAATAGTCTGATTTAAGTCTTATTGTGTAGTCATACAAGTAATATATAAACAGTATAAGTATATCTAAAAAACGGTTACTTAGCAACAAAATTTTATTGGATTCCCGATCAATTAACGAGAAACACAGACTAGAATGACCAACCAAGGTAGTCGGAAGACCTTTATAATCAACTCAAAAAGGCTGATTTTGTTATATGAGAAACATACGAGCTGTTTATCTAGGTGCTACGAATAATTGAAAACTTCTACACATTTTAATATAAAATCGCAATACTTGCAAATGTTCAAGGCTATGCCAAAAGAAACTAACACCTTTGCAAGTGTGCATAGCCACGTAATGCATCGGACAGGAAATAGGTACGTGTGTTAATCACTCAGTCGACGTGGGCTGATATTATATTACAAAATTGGATAACTTCGATTATAAAATAACTAACAGAAATAAGTATAGATATTTAGTTATACTGGGCCTAACTGTTATAGTCAAAGCAAGAAAGATACAATGAATCAAAACAAAATTGCAGTGTTTTATCACCATTATGTATATTGTATAAACTCTGCCAGAGCAATGAGCCGACGAAATTTAAAGCGAGAAGTGGATGCTGATGGAACAAACACATAGGTCCGCGACTTAATAACAAAGTTTGTCTATATTATATACATTATACATACACAAATTGTGATTAAAATTTTAACAATATTCTAATAGATCATATATGTATTAGAGTAGGTAACGCGTAGATCACCAAATTTCATTTAGATTCTTACTTTTTTATCATTGCTCAAAAATATAAATAAAATACAGGGCGTATTGGAGTAAAATGGAGGGGACCTAAATCTAGAAATGTAACAAATAAAGAGGGTGATGATGATGAAATGTACAGAAAAAAACACTAAGGGAATTATTAATCTTGGTGACTTGGGAAATTCCTTATAAAGTAAAGAGTTTAAAAAATACAATCAATACTATAAATAAAACGAAAAACCTTACAACAGAGAGAAAAAGAAAACATTTTTATAGCTTAAAGCAACAAGTCGTACATATCGTACAATATCCAAGTCGTTTATTTAATATTAACTTAATAAATATGTTAATATTTCCGTCTCCCTCTCGAAGCCCATCTTTTATTTATATTTAATTAATTAGACAATTAACCTAAATGAAAAATAACATTAAATCGACAATTGTTTTTGACTGTGCAACCTTTAGATGAATGCCAGTCCATCCTATTAGAAGCAATTTGTATGATTCATTGCTAGCATTAACGTGGTACATCAACTACTAGAATATTATGCTCTTAATCACGTTTCTGTTTATATTAAATGCAGCGCAGTTTCTATTTCAATAGAGAAAGTTGGGATTGATTACTCACGCTAAGTAGTTTTAAATAGCTCGAATATATGCACTTATGTTTTGATATATTTTTTATTTATTTTACCACATCATACATAATGCTGTACATTCAGTATAATATGTATGTTACAAGCTATCTTTTATAAAATAATAGCTGACCCAGCAAATGTTTGTTTCGCCATGTATATTATTTCTAGGAAACCTTTTTTTAGTTCAATAAAAATAACAATAATAAAATAGGGGTTGATCGTAGAGAGGTGAAAATAAGGGGTTGTATGTATATTTGTATGCTGTATCTTAGAAAAAAAACAAAAAAAGAACTAAACAATAAAAACATTTTTTTTGGGGTAGACCTCTATCACTTAGGGGTTTGAAAGATAGATAGTAGCCGATTCTCAGACTTACTGAATATGCATAAAAAATTTCATAAGAATCGGTCCAGCCGTTTCGGAGGAATATGGGAGCGAACATTATGACACAAGAGTTTTATATATTATATGTAACTATTATGGTAAACATATTACATAAATTAAAAAATAATAAAATTACCAGCAATACAGCGGATTAGGTATGAGATAAGCACTTAACAATGTTTTTTTTTTAATTGATCAGCCCACTACCGAATATATCAAGCTTCGGATAAGTACTGTTTATTCCGTTATATTCGCTAAGAACTCGTATAAGAGGTGCCTGAACTCGTAGGTTAGTTTTTGCAGACGGAATTTGATATATATTCTGTTGAAATTAAACTTTGGGAATAAATAAGGGACGACGATGTTACTGTCCTGTTACTGTTCCGTATTTGACCATTAATCAATTTGTATACAACCACCAAAAGATCTTCGATCGCTATGTATGTACTATCTACAGATAAACAGTAACTACTTTGGAAACAGATACACAAATAGGAGGCCTAGGTCAAAGATGCGACATCTTCAAATTAAAATAGATATATATGCTTCCAAAATATCTTATTAATTAGAAACTGTAATTTATAAAGCATTGTACTATTGACGAATATTGTAATTATATTAATAAAAAATTGTATATTTTAAAGATTAAATTAAATATTATTAGCCCCTTTTTAAAACTTAATACTCTATCGTTACACGAGTCTCTGTGTTGCATTCAACTTGTGCTGGAATGCTAATTATTTCCTCAATTTCATGAGATCAATTTTCCCGGCGGCTTTATTGTACGAGAGCTCGTCACTGTGAATCATGTGCAGTATAATGTGGGTGGGAATCACTTGAGACATATTTGGGACATCACTGGATAAGGACAATATATTCTGCTTAGATATAGAAAAAAATATCACGGAGTAGTTGTTTTGTCTTTACGGAATTTAAATATAATAAAAAAATCGGCATTTATTAAACCAAATACATTTCTTTCAGATTCTTTCATATATGAATACAGTAAAAGAAATCTATTGGATTAAAAAAATTAGACCTCTTGTCTGTCGTATGCCAACTACAGTTTTAAAAATATAGATAATATTTATAATTATTAAATTAAAAATATAGCCAAAACGGATTATATCATATATATGTCGCAGCCAACTAGCGCAATTAGCCGTTCAATTAACAGCCTAGCCTTTTAACTAAACGGCGCCGTTTAACTAGCGGCCTGAAAGATGTTCAGCCGTAGCGTTTGTTACAACATCTTATAAACTGGCTGGCTAATGCTTAGGCCATTCGTATATACATACATATATACTACGAACGTTATGTACTAACAAGTGAGGTGTTTATGGGAATGTGCTATGTGTGGGGAGTGTAATTGTGCTTTTTATGTAATCTTCAAAATCCCTTCGACATACAGAAAAATGTTATCGGTAAGCCAAAATGCTTGCGTCTTCGTAGGTCCTTAACCGATGAACTTCAGCCCATTTACAGAACACGTCCTTGTACCAAGATAGACCGTACTACGCAACAAAAACGTAGGTATAGCTTATACCAATGTCAGATTATGTTCAGATTGTAAAGACCCACAATATACTCGTATAAGGTGACATTAAGCGTGAAGGATTACCACGCTTGACTTGAATTCAAGAATTACGATATTCTCGTACATATCTAATAGAGTTACGTGATACTTCGCTTTGACAATTTAAGCGGTTATCTAAGGTTTGATTATTGACCCCGCATCTCAGGAACATCCTTTCAAAAATTTAAATCCGCGAGACCAGCCCTGCGATTCTGTAACTCTATAAACAACTGATAAACAATAAACTACAAGCTCCCACCTTTTCAGAATGCCAAATCATAAAATGACTGCTTCACGACTGATTTGAGAGCGACCGCCGATGCGAAAACCGCCGTGTGAGTTCGAAAAGTGAGTTACAGAATCGCAGGGCAGCTTAAGACATATATATACATATTAAGTACGTAATAAACATTGGTTTAAAAAGTGTTATGGAGTTAGCGTTAAAATAACTTTAATAATTATTTATTAATCAAAAATATATACGCCTCTACTCTTAGTCGGCCTCAGATTGAAAGAGTTTGATCTTTGAAGTAGCGTAATAGTAAATTATACATCTTCGCCTGTCTAATCGGGAGTTTAATTTTGTGAAAAAGGTAATGTATGAGCCAAGGCTGTAAATTTTGCTCACTCAGGCTTTCTGTTTTATAACCGCGGCGATTTCCTAAATCATGGTAGTTTTATTATTGCCCCGAGGGTATAGCCAGGCGTAGGCTGGCTGGCTTCTTCTTCAACTGTTACATTGCATTCATTCGTTACATAGCAATTAACATTTCATTAGTTCGCGTATTTTCTGTTGTACGTAAGTGGTTAATATAGAGTAAAAATAAAATCCTTGATTATTTAAAGCACCCCGATGTGGCAGTAACCGTAAAGATAATAACAGTATCAAAAATTATAATTTGCATATATTATTTATTCACTAACAAACTGAAATGTTTTTTTTTAATCTTGTCATATTGTCTCTATGGCGAAGGCACAATGCTGTCCGGTGTGTGAAATAAACAATTCACGTGAATATCTTCTCTCAATCTCACTAGTTACCTACAGACTAAAGACAGGAAAGGTAATAAACAGACTAAACTAATGAAAATAGTCAACAAGCTACTCCAATATGGCCGACAAAAAAATTAATTTCGCGTTGAGTCACTATGAAAAACAGCAAACGCTAGTCATCTATAATGACCTTGGCTTAAACGACATGGGGACAATGCAATGATTATCAACAGTGTTTTAAACAATCCGTGACGCAATAGTTCGATGAATGGACTGACAGCCAGAAGTCGGTGTTACAAAAACAACAGTCTAGAAATAACATGCTAAAAATGAATGAATAGGTATTTAACATGTCATTTTTTTTTCGCTTCATACAATAAATGACAGAAGCGTGGAGACAACCTTACGAAATCTGCTTGCAAAAATAAATAGATCCATTACGCTTTGAAACATTAATTAATATTTAAAAAAATAAAAAATAAAAAATAAAATATGTTTATTATGGAACATAAGATACATGTATCACTTATTCCACGTCATTAAATTTGAAGGCATCCCTACTCATCGGCAAAGAAGACAGAGGGTGTAGGCCGAGAGAAAAAGCCGGCGTAAAAAACTCTCGGTACTCTTTTAAAACAGCAAATCATCAAACAACACTTATTTAAAACAAATATCGCAAATTGATTAAAAGTAGCCTGTCTAGCACTAGTCCCAGGCCCTTTTATCAACTAGATAATCGTTGACTTTATAGTAAGCCTTTTTACACAGCTTTTCTTTAATACATTTCTTAAATTTATTGAAAGGCAGTGATAAAAGAGCCTCTGGGATTTTATTAAAGAAGAGTATCCCTTTCCCCAAAAAAGAATTACTAACTTTAGATAGTCTAGTACGGGGAAATTGCAGCCTGCGTTTGTTCCGTGTATTAACATTGTGCGTATGTTCTATTCTAGTAAACTTATCACTATTTTTGTATACATACATAATATTTTCATAAATATATTGCGAGGGAAAGGTAAGTATATTAATTTCCTTGAATTTATCTCTAAGAGATTCCCTACATTTTAAATTATAGATTGCACGAACTTTATGCATAGCTCAAAGTTTCTAATGTACTTACATATCAGAAGTAGAATAACGTCCACGAACCATTGTTCTATCCGAATAAAGCAAATAGAAATCAACTGCAAACTTCACCTCATTACACTACATTAACATAAAGATAACACTTGTGTTTACGCAGAAAATATCGCACGAAAATCCCAAAGTAAACTTGCCCGTCTCAGTTGGTTAAATTAAAAAACTTATAAAAATAGAAATCGAATCGGCCAAACAAAACACGAGTGGAACGGAATGTTTGGTAAGGGATTTCGTTGACTAAGCGTAAATATTTTCACAATTATTCGCGGTTACTGAAATCGGTCGTTCGTTAATGCGTTCGTTGTTTGTCTGCGTTCGTTGGGCTGCCGTAGTCCTAGGCGCGTGCGCAGTCTGCGCGATCCGGCGTCACGGTACTAGGTTTAAAATGGCGCGGGCGTGCTCACGTCATCGCAGCCGCGCACAAAGTGATAACAAAAACTCTACAATTGTGAATTGATACTACGCTACGTCGCGGCCGGCAGCAAAGCATCGCCGGAAACACAGTTCTGCAGATTCCCAACGCTTGGACATCTGCCAACGACGCCGAATCTCACTACCGCTTTTGACGTGACTTGTAACAAAGTCGGTTCAAAAGCTCTTGCCCGTAATGTAAACATTCTCTTTAGTTAGTATATCATGAAATTTAGAGTAGATTTGCCAAGCTCATCCGTAGGTATACAAATGAAGCAACGCCAAAAATCTATTTTGGAAGTTATTGGAGCATAAAGAGATCGTTAAATCTACTATTGGTAGGGGTTTTTAGTTTAATTCGAATATTTATATATATACGAGTATATACATATACATACATACATCAGTAGCGCTACAACCTTTTTAGGTCTGGGCCTCAGTTTCTGTATCTGTTTCATGATCATTTGGTAATCTAATAGGCAAGTAGGTGATCAGTCTTCAGTGCCTGACAGTGACGCACGCTGTTGACTTTTGGGTCTAAGGCAAGCCGGTTCGAGCGAATGTTAAACGCGGACTTAGAACAGAAAATCCATTGGTCCCCACAGGTGGGGATCGAACCTACGACCTCAGGGATGAGAGGCGCACTCTGAAGCCACTAAGCCAACACTGCTCATTTTTATAGACGAAATAAAACAGGTAGCCTTAACGGTCATTTCAGAATTAGATTCGACTAATAAACATCCAATTAGATTTTGGTTTGGATTTTAATATTGTCTGTTACATCTGTTGTGCTCACGTAACCCAGATTTTCGTTACAGATTTTTCGCTCTGAGATAGCGTTCGGGAAGTGACTGACAGGGATATTTTTCCTTGTAATTTCTATATCATTCCTTCTCAATCTCTGTCCCAAACGACAGGAGCAATGCTGCTTATAAAATACAAGACACTCACCTATTATGTAGATCAGCAGTTTTGGCCATGGTGAACTCTTTGGCGTGGACATTCAGCTTGTTGGAAGGCGCCGTCAGTGTGTTGCCTGAATTGCCTCCGCTGGTGACAGCAACGTCTGTGCGCACGCCTGGTGGTCAACGAGGTGGTCAAGAGAAGAGGCGATAGGAAAGATTAGTCACTTGTGCTTGTGTAGTGAAATACTTGTTGCAAAATGTAACCATAGGAAAGCCCAAGACGGATGATCTAGTTTGAGTACATGCAGGTGGAAACATGAAGTGTCGTTTTAAGATAGATTAGGTTATTATATCTAAAATAATGGGTTCTATTTTAAGACTCATAAAAGGTATAATGCAAAATTCGATTTTTATCAAAAGCTACTGGTTGTGCTAATATTAATCATTTAGTTTAAATTAATAAAGTTGTAATGATAACATGACAGTGATGTTTATTTAGACTAAAGTCATGCAAAGAGGTGATAAAGTGTGGTATAATAGAATTGTTAACAGAAAATTAAAGTCAAAGATACTAGAGTCTAAGAAATAAACGTAAATAAATTCATGTAATTAAACATACTTTTAATATAATTTGTATGTAGGTACATACTAAACATCTAATTACAATAATAGAATTTAAATATTTTTAATCGCTCAATTATATTGAGCAATTTCACTTGGTTAATTTGTGACTTTTTACGGCTCATTATGAGTGCATTGTTTAGCGCGACGTACTTTCACAAACAGTTTATAAATCATCATTAGTCTGAGTACGTAGAAAAAATATGAAAAATGCTGACTGTAATAGCGCTAAAAATATACATTATGTACATAGTAAATACTCTTTTAAATACTATGAATCAACTGACAGCATGACACATGTCATCGGATACAGCGGTATTTTTTGCCTTCTACAAATTTTGCTATTTTGATATGTCAAGTCTGTGTTACGAAATACTAAAGTAATTATTATTTTTTTATATTAACACAAATTACTGTCGAGTAGCTGCACCATGTAATTACTAAATGGAAAATTTTAACGAAAATATAACAGCAAGGCTGCGTGTTTCAAACCGTTTCGGTGAAATGATCAGACTTTCATCGGCCTCAATAAATCGATATTATTTGGTAAAACGCGAGCTGCAGAGGAAAGTCTATGTACGAATGAAGACTTCCTCTGTCAAGTCACAGCGAACCGCGGAGAGTTCGCGCTCAGACTTTTCTGTTAATCTAAAGAATAAATAATAAATCGCTACATACATATAGTTCAATTTTATATTGATCATATTATACTAGTTACATTCAATGTAAACAAACCCGTTGTTTCTGTAACAACTGCTTCCGTTACCGGAACCACGGCCGTGGTCGCTAGAGGGGAGACGGGCGCAATTGGCACAGGGGACACTTGACCCACTGGCGTGCTAGGCACAGATACAGCCTGTTTCACTATAACTCTAGACATTTCACACACACTTTTTCAATTTTCTCATTGAAAATTCACCGCGATAAATATCACCGACCGCAACAAACATCAGACTGTCGTCCCGTTCCAAATATGAAGTTTTGTTTATTTTTAATTTTGGCGCCAAACGCTCGTGACGACGTATTCAGCCAGCATTTTCCATAGATAAATTATTGAATCGATAGTATTTTATTCGGTTTGATAGTTACCTGGTGGTCTGTAGATTTCAAGGGTTGGCTTTCCTTTTGCATTTGTTAAGATCATGCTCCGTCGTTTCCCATTACTCGGAAACTGTGGACGAAAAAAATAATTTGGACAATCAAACGGATAAATCCTATAAATATGACCTATGCTGTCATGATTTATTTTAAAACTATGTACTCATAACTTTGAAAGGTAGCACGCATAACTAGCATCATCCACTAATTTAAAGCTGTGACCAGTTCCAACAAAAATATTTGTATGCATCGCTGTCATTTTGAAATCACAGAATATAATCATTTTCGCCAAGGTTTCAGAAATTTGTTTGTCGATGTCAAATTAATATGAAATTATTATTTAATTTTCTTTTATTTTGATATGTTAAACAAATTTTGGCTAACATTTCGTAACAAATACAGCTCGATACAAGTGTGTAGGTGTAATTGTGCAGTCGATATGTGCCCACGTTAAGATTACAATGTCAATATTTACATATTGTAAGCCTTGATTGGCCTAGACTTTTACTTTTGCCGTTAATTTGCTAACGTGCAGCAATTCATCCGCATCCAATGCACATTTGCAATAGTTATTATAAGTAGTATGTAACTGTGAATATATAAGAGCCACAATTATTATCGATTCCAAAGAGAATATATTAAAATGCAGAACAATATTAAATACATAAAAGTGTTGTGTTACCTGGTTATGATGCAAATTATGATGAGACTGAGGCCGTATAAAACTTCTTTCCCTCATGATAACTCCAGGGGAGGCAAAATCCTGCACCCTGTAGCTCCTCTGCAACTCCCCAACGCCTATTTGGGTCTGCATTGTCTCTGGTTAACGTTTCTTTTTTATAGCAGAAATGGGACGGTTTAAACTCTTTGGTAGGCTAAGAAACTTTTTACAATCGATCCACCCAATTTTTTTATTTTTATAAAATTTACAATAAATACACTAGATGAATGACTAGTATTATAGTTACAATGTCGTTATTATAAAATTAATTTCCACAAATATTTACAACACTTTGTTAGAGCTATTAGGTTAGAAATGCGCTTTAATTTTATCCTTGAACGTGACGTCACGTCAGAGATCTCTCCTTATAAATATAGACCCCTCCTGTGGCCACAAAGGGGGGTTGTTCGAGAAAGTTCGTTTGGACGATATGTAGAGCGGTGCAGGATAACTTGGTGCCTGACAGTCGTAGAGCGATTTTCGAGACTAAAGCATGTGTCAACTTCCTTCTCGAATCGTTTCGTTATGAGGGGTATCTGTGCCCCTTATCTGAAACATAAAAGTAAAAACCTAGATTTAAATCGAGCATTTTCCGGTTGTAAAACAGTCTCCGCTTCGTTGGAAACGTTTAAATTTCGTCGTAATATGTTACTATAGTGTGCCAGTGAGCGATGGAAAGGAGTCTACTAAACATGCAAAGACAACATCGGAAAAGAAATACAAAAAAAATAATAGACGCTTTAGACAAAAATGGAATTGGGCGGGTCATATTGCTCGCATGGACAAAGAAAAAATGGACACCAAGGGTGACACCTGGCAAGGACCAACAAATAAATGATTAAGAGGTAGACCAAATGAAAAATGGATTGATGAAATAAAAAGAAAAGCAGGTGAAATTTGGAGCACCAAAGCCAAAGACACATTCAGAGCAAAATGGAGGGAGGTCTATAAAAATGAATTTTGATTTTGATTCTTTTTAATTTATTTAAAATTTATAAACATTGTAATTTTTAATAATGATTGGAATTTAAATTTAAGGATTATAAATAGTAGTATTGTATTTTTAATGCATGCACATATGTAATAATTAATCATATTATGATATACTTGTTTAATATATTATTCATTATGGTAATAAAGAGGCTATAATAATAATAAAAAAATACTATAAACTATTACATTAAAAATACTATATACTTCTTTTGCAGCCTACCGACGTTTGCATAGAGTCGATAACCTAAACTTACAGTTACTCGCTCGATGGACGATGACTCAACTCATTGTCATTACATGATGGCCGGTAACCATAGATTATAATCGGGTTTGGTTGCGTGAAATGCAAAAAATAAAATGAAGGAAATATTTGATGGTGGAAAAAAGGGATAAATAAAGTTCTCTACTCTTGGAAAATTGGATCTTAAATCTGGATATTTGGAAGTGAAAGTGATATCAATTAGAATCCTTCTATCTGCTTATTTAAACTAAGTATTCTTGATTATTTGATCTTTCCTTCGGGACATAAGTTTTGGTACTAAACACATATTGTGATAAAAATACATAGATCCGAATAAGGAATTACCTTGAAATGTATTTAATAAATAACACGTACTTTATATTAAATTATACTAAAAAATAAGTGCTGGATAGCGGTTGGCCAAATATCGTAGGTAAGATTCATTAAGATTTTTAATAATTTTAATCGCACTCCTTATCGTGTGAACAGATGAAAGACATAGACATAACATTTATTTCTAACGAAACACACAAAATAATAATAATAATCAAAAAAATAACGAAAAGAAAATAATTTTTTAAGGAACAAGGTTCATTTTGCGTGTGTAATGTATGTGTGTTGTGGTTGTAATTGTGTTTGTGTGTGGCTCCTGGCTCAGCATTATGCTGTGGAGCAGACCTGCTCAAAGAAAGTAATAAACCTGTGACAAAAGAGTGCAATAATAATAATAGTAAAAATTAACAGTGTAAGTAAAGAATACTGGAAGATTTGTGTATAATAATTAAAAATAAGAATATTTATTAAGAAATATGTAAGATGTATAGATTTTATTTATTTTTAAGTGTGTGACTATAATTTCTTCCTAGTGTAGGTTTAATAGATATTTCTGACGGTTAACAACTAATTGATAAGAAAATGCTCACCGCTCTCTCGTTTTGCGGGTCTGTCGCTCACTGCACTCGAGACTCGTTCATTTAATCGTATTTGTTCACTGTAACAAAACCCACGGTTAATACTCTCTCACCTGAAATGTTCTAGTTTTTCATGTTTTTTGCTTGAATAAACCTATTCATGAGGAGAAAGTTTAGATTGGCGCTGAAATCTTTGCGGTCTTGAATTCGCTGCAATCATGGATGGAAATAATCAAATAAAGATTTTTTTTATCGCGTATACAGTACAATAACCGAACATGAACGCATTAGATCTGATAATAGAACAGACAAACAGTCAGATGGCTCAACTGCTCAAAGCTCGTCACTCAGTTAGGCGTAAAACTATTTAGTAGTTTAGTAATTTTTCATAAAAAAATCCTCATACGTTACCTAGACCTACTAATACCGCCGCATAGAAAGATCTACAATACCATAGAGAATGCATTGACGACTTTATACAATCATGGCCTATATTCTTGATGGAACCAAAAGCTAATACGCCTCCACGGGGAATGCTTTTATTTTTAAATCATGTCAGTCATGATATAAAGATAATATTATAAGATATAATATATTTCTTTTGTGCACACATGCACCGTTTTCATTATCTACAAAATACTTAATCTCAATTTGCATATTGATAAGAGTATTCAATGCAGTCATATCTTATCTTAGATTTTTAGCAAAGACGGAATTTGCTAATTAGAGTGACCTACTTTCATATTTGGTATATATGGATCATATCACGTGAACGTCAGTATTTTAAAAATATGAAGGTTATAATGGCAAGAAACTCTCCGCCACCCGTTTTAATAAGTTTTTGCTTTTATGTATATACCTATTTTTACTTAAATGAGTTTTTTTTTATTATTATTAAAAAGAAGTAAAATATATCACGCCATCGTCGTACGCTGTTTTTGCATGACTAGCAAAAAACTTCGCATCTTCTCAACTGGTCTAATGCTACTATTTCCCTTTTCTCAGGAGACAAGTTGATCAAAACTGATCCGAAATAGGTTATATTCTTAGTGTTTTGCCGGCTGCGTGTCGGATTGACGCTAAATTTAATACACGTGTTTATTTAGTTAGGTATTTTTTTTAAATTGCTTTTAAGGATTATGTAAGGAACCGCAATCAGAACCACGCAATTTGTTGAGTAACATTCATCTGTTATATGAATACTGCTTAGATATAACTATCACTGAACTGACAAAACTCTCGTTAAACGTAAATTAATCAATAAACCTTTTTATATATTTGAGGAATATTTAAATGATCCTAATCCTTGGGATTGATTTGCTCCAGTACAAACAATTTGTATGACTCAAAACTAGGCGATTAAAAAGAGTGGCGGAGAGTTTCTTGCCCGCTCTACGCCCTTGCGAACTAGTAGTAAATGAAAATTTTGAAACAATTTAACATCTTTTCTGTTGACGTTCATAAGTGTACTTGTTTACCTATATGAATAAAGTTAGTTTGAGTAATAGATTTTAATCCAAGGTTAGTCTGCTTGGTCATGCAGACACTTCTGGCCTATCATCGAGTGAAATTTCTTAAACGTTGGGTTGAAATAGTTAACCATATTAGATCAATTTTACGGTCGTAGTTGCCAAATTGAATCCATTTTATTGGAGACCTATGTCGTATAACCAATAAAGAGTTCGTGATGCAATGAACAATTGATTTTTACAGAAAAGCAACTCTTTTGTTCGAAGAAGTATATGCCTTATAAAAAAGGAAAGTAAAAACACAACATGATAATTTTAAACATTAAAAACAATCAATGAAGCGTAAACAAAAATTTAAAACTTCAAACCAGAAAATAATGTAGGCGTTGCCGTATGACATCATGTTCGTGCACGACTCACATTTGTAATTGCAATAAGGAATAATCACCTTTCGTACTTTTGTTAATAAAGCCATTATTGCTTGAAGGTTGGTGGCAAAGATCGGTAAATATATGCAGAAATCTCTATGTAGATTAAAGCGTAGATTGGTATACTCTGTGCCACAGTTGAGTACACAAATATCATAGTTCTAGGTCGGTGATGCATTTTGTTGAGTCTAAAGTCGATTTAAAGCAAATCATTATTTGGCAATTCCATTAAACTGTTTTCGTCTGTTTCTATGTTATTTTTAGACTACAATCTTAAGCCTCTATGTATAGGTCAAAGGAATTAAATTGTGCTGTATTTATGTATTGTCTACTAGAGAAGTCCTATGCTTAGATACATTATTAACCAATTTGTTTTTTCATGAATCAAAAGTGTCTCAGAATTTTTGACGTGACAACGTCTAATAAATCGATTAACACCGGCTGCACGCATAAAAAGCATGACTTATTGTCCCGTTACGCGTATTGTCCCATTACGCCTATTGTACGCTTGCGCCGCATCTCTCTACCACTCGAAGAATTAAGTATGCAATCATTTCATCAATGTTTTGTTATGACGTTGTCACGTTAAAAAACTATCGTTCGTAAACCGTCTTTACAGACAGCCATTTAGTTAGTATGTAGGCAATGTCTATGACTAAACTATTAAATTTCATTTAAATAACACATTTTGTCCGAAAGTATCTTAAAACACAATATATAAAATGTTGCATATGGTTGTCTATCTTAAATCATATTATGGTTTTTTGTATTTCATTACAAATACAAAAAAACATTATAAATTTAACTTTCCTTTATTTATTCGCTAAATCAACAATTGTAATTCAATTCTTGCGGTTCCTAAAGTAAACGGGACACCTTCAAGGTTGGCTTTATCGCAGTATTAATTTATTCCGTCTTAATGTTTGGATAATCCAGCAAAGACCACGCTTTACACAATTTAAAATAAGAAATACATAGATAGCTTTGCCCGAAGAACCAGGCTTTCAACATTCTTGTGCATATAGCAACTACCAAACTGGACTGTAGAAAA